ATAGCCCGTGATATTTACAGATTGTTTAGAATGAACCAATTAAAAAGATCTCCTTCAGGCATTCAATGAATCTTGCTTTAAATGTAAGGCCTATATATCGACAGAGGTTGGCAACCTGGATATTGCGGATATGTAATAAATCACTAGTAAGTCTTGGCCTAATATTAAGATAAAGCGCCAACATTGCATTGCGTAAATCAATAATATATCATAGATTTAGAGTTGAAAATAAATTTAATTGTTTTCTCTCTAAATTTTCCCTAGATGAGGATAATTATTGGAAAAACGATATTATCATAGTGTAATATTGTCGGATACCAATCATTCGCCATTAGGCTACCATAAATAAACTTGGTTTGCAGACTAGCAGTTCAATGATTACTGTAACTTTAGTCTGAAATAAAGCCTTTTTATCAATATATCTATAATATTACTTCGACTATTGTTATAGACCAATACATTTGCTTCTAAAATTTTCATCTACGCATTTCAAATGATGTAATATTTCATTTTAATATGAACTTGATGGTTTTTCATCATAGCATTACTCATAGTCAAGAAATTGTGTGATTAAAATATTGGATGGAGTAATATTTTTTAGATATGCCGATCTGAGTGTGCATTTAATAGTAGATGCAGATCATGCTATTTATACTTATCGGAATGGGAAATATTTCTTAACGATAAGTCAATCATAGCAGTAGTAGTTAGATTAAGAGAATGCCAGCTAAAGGATGTAGCATCGTTCATTTAGCACTAAGTAGATATTGCTAAAAATGGAACGAATACCAATTATGTCATAAATTATAAAGAATGATGCGCTAAAATTTATATCGGTGGCTATTACCATTCCAGCTTATAATAATGAAAACATTTTTAAAGTGAATTTATGAGGAAAATTTAATCTTTCACTATGTTTTTGTAGAAAAATTTATTACAATTGATGAAAAATTGGCGTGATTACATCGGTTTCCTTCTTTCAATCTTATTGTTACAAGCCATCACCTGCATAGTTAAGGTAGACAAATGCAGTGATCATGAAGCAAATATTTTCGGTGCTTTACATACGGATGAATGAATCAGTCGATACAATTACCTTTCGTGAGTAAATAACCTACATATATACAGTATCATAATCTAATCTGCTTGATACAAAGTACAGATTTCGTAATTAATATAATACGCTGAGCCTATAAACTTGCTTAATGGCTAATTGTGGATACGAATTTTCACGTTGAAACCGTAATCTTGGAGATTAGAGCTTAAATAACACCGCTAACATAATGGGTTCTTTTCTTATGCTGTCGGCCATAAAATCAGATATCTCGTTGATTGATAAGGCGAGATGTTTGCTTAATATTATTTTTATCTACTTACAACATTGTTGATATTTATAATAAAGTTCAGTTCAGTACCGTATTCAAGCTTTGGTGAATTCCCTGGTCTTTCAAAACAATTTTATAAAACAAAAGTCGTAACTCAGATGGAAAACTACTGTTCATTGAACTGCAAGCCATTTATGTTAACAATGCTCTAGTCGCGCATCAATACATGTATCGTATATTATCCAAATTTGTTACCGCCTTCTGGAATTAAACCTGATGGAACCTTCTCTATTTATAACATTTTCAAGATTTTCACATATTCCGCAAAATGCTGCAAATAGATTTAGGGACTACGGACTCAAACTAGAATTTATAGACAAATTTCGTCCACTATAGATTTCTAATTTACTTCTATAGGATATCACACACTAATAAATGATGATAAAACGGCAAGTAATTATTAGTAATTTGAGAGACAATGATGAAGCAATAGAAATAGAAATAGACTGTAAAGTATTTCACTTGGGAGCGATATGAAGGGTTTGCTATTTGAACTACCGTAATATTGAACGACTCTCAATGTTATGGTACCTTAAAAAATCACAAATTAATATAGTACGTAACATAGAAATAGAGAAGACATTGAATTTGCATTAATGCCTTATGCAAATTTGAGCTAATAAATATTATTTATTACCTAGTGGCTAAGTTTGTCATGAATGGATAAAAAACTGTTGTTGGTAACAAGAAATAAAAGTCGGTAAATAATCTTAAATTCTTAACTGAGACGAATTGGATATTTTATTCAATTCATCAACATCTATTCTAATGATGGCCTTGATATAAAATGACTATTGTAGTTTCAATATCTTTTGAAATCTTAGAATTAGTTCTTGCAATGATAATAAATATCAATACATGTCACATATTCTGATCGTAACTTACGTATAAATTATTCAAGATTGCCTCAGAAACTGGATTACAGGGTGTCACAAACCAGCTTCGTGACAAGGATAACGTAAAACAAATCTCTAAATTACTATAGTCTTCCGGAATTCAGTATCCCTTAACTACCTCACAAGAATTTAGACGCCTTTGATTCTACGTTAAACTCAACTAGACAATTGAGAACTGCTTTATTCAACTATCTGACGGGCTTATATACCCTTCTACAGCAGCTAACATTCACAAGTCATCTTATAAAAATACTTAAGTGAGAACATCTACTAACTAGTTTTTCACAGTCGGACTACAATATGTCCATTCACAGAATCATTTCAATATACATTACAGAACAGCATTAAATTTGCTGTAACACATTTATAATTAGAGTAATTCCTATTGTAAGTAACTAGTTGTAATATAATATCACTATATTATATTAACCAAATTTAGATATCTATTTCTTCACGGTAGTTCGTACCGTGACACAGGGGCATTGATCATGATTTTAGGCAAAACGATAATGCCTTACGGTATTTGTTAATTTCTATTGTTAAAAGAGAATCGATCCGCATGAGTTAGTGTATCTATGGCAGAGTAGAAATATTTTTTATTTAGTTTAGTAGCTTCAATTTTCAAGTGGAGATATTCAAGGATATATAATACGCCAGAATGCAAAATCACAATTCCATTGTACTATTTAACTGCTGATCAACAATCCCTTGAATAGAGTCATTAATAAGCTTGTATGCGTGGAAAAAATAACATTGAAGGTAAATTATTACAGAGATATACTAATAAATTGATATAAAGGAGAACTATTTGTTCGTAAAATCACCTATTACCTAATTATTAAAATTCAACCGCATTTAAAAAATTCGTGACACTGATGTTGTGTTCATTGCTTGATCATATCGTACCTACCTATAGACCATCGCTAGTATAATAATTATATATAATCACATCATTCAAATTTTTTAACACAGCAGACGTTAATGATAGATCATAGTTCGTATATACTGATCTATCACATTTTGTTTAAGGAAACAGGCTGGTAATCAAACGCAACATACCATATCTAAGACAGCAATCAGTGGTATTGTGGTCATTTCTAATGCCGCATCATATCGTTACCTAATAACGATTGCCTATTTAATATATTATTGTATATAATCACATCAATCAAAATTTGAACATAATGGACATTATACATAGATTATCCTGCAGTTTGTTTATACTTATCCGTCGTACTTCATTCAAGGGAGTAGCCTGCTAATCAAACATACCATAGCTAATCTAAGGCAACCATCAGTAGTGTCGTATTCATATGTAATGCCATACGGTATCTAAGGACGATTGCCCATGTAAACGTTTACGAATATTTTATTAATAATTTTATGTAATCAGCTCAATCTATTTTTTTTACACAATAGACGTTAAAAATAGATTATAGTTCGTCCTTACTGATCGATTACATTTGAATTAAGGAAGCAGCCTGATATTCAATAGCTACAAAGCTAATCTAAGACAACAATCAGATTGATGAAGAATATTGATAGGCGCATAGCAGCGATATTTTATTTTAAAATTGAGTGGTGAAAGGTACTAGAAATGAAGAAGTCTAAAATTTATAGCAAAATAAAATGTTCAATCAAGAAAACCTAAAAAGTGAAGCTAGTTTAGCTAAATGGTGAATGGCATCACTACTTACCACAAAAAATAAAATATAATTTAAAGTGAAAAAAAAGATTACATTGGAATGCAACAAATTATTCAGCGTAAAAAGTTGTGTTGCGCTACCATTGAATAAATTTGAAATCTATAATTTTATGATTTAAAGTTTTATAAATCGAATACGAATTCAGTTTAGTGATTAGTTTTTTAATGCCTCGCTGTTTCCCATCAAATAAAATTATTTATAACTTATGTAACAGAAAACATGAAATAAATAATTAAACTTGACTGATTGATGGATGGTTTGTCCATTTAGTAGCATTAATTTATAGAAATCAAGAGGATATGCATTTTTCGGTCATTAACGGTAGCAGTTTACTGGATATTTTGAACATGCATAAGTGGTGCTGTGGTAATTTAGTTACTAATTTATTTATACCAGTAAGTTCATTTCAAGGCATTAATCTACATTAGTTTTCATTTCTAAAATTATAACAATCAACGAAAATGTTATATTATTGATCATGATCAATTGGTTGATAGGGCTGTGCTACCAATGTTTATTCCTGTATTTATGAATAATTAAAAATTATAACAATGTGTCATTGGATTGCGTTAGCACCTGGTTAACAATCTCTATAAGACAGTATCATCTAAATTAACTAGTTACAATACCTGTAATTTATATCGCCATCTATTTTTTTGTTAATATCACGATCTTATTTTTGCTTTAACAATTTTATTGATCTTAATGTAGGAATAAGCATTGAAGTATGACGTCAAATTTAAACCAATTTTACTGAATGCTCTCAATTTGAAAAGGATTCAACTATATATATATATATATTTGCATTATAGACAGGCTATCAAAATCAATTATTAGCGATCAAATTTTAATAAGCAAGTTATCTACCGAATGTGTACACGTCAGAAATTCAACCAGAATAGCCTAATAAAGATATTCTGCATCTATTTCAAAAGTTATCTTCCAAGTTTTTACATGGAAAAATTTATTCCAGTTGCCATTTATTCACCAGATATTAATTAAATTGAACGATGATGGCTACAGAACAATTTAATGATCAAAACTCAATCGAACCAGTACAGAATACAACACAATTAAATAAATCAACTTTACTGATATCTGCTATAGCATTATCCGTTATTAGCGTATGTGGCTTGGTGGGCAATATGATAGTTCTGATCTTATTTCCTAAGATTAGGCCCAAAAAACCTAATTTTGCCAAGATCCATTTCCAGCTACTATGGCATGTTGCACTAGCCAGCCTCTTCAATTGCACCCTAGCAGTACCAATGCTAATCCTCGATGTACTTCTCGAAGAAGATCAGCATTATATACCGTGTATTATTTATAAAATTACTACCGTCGGCTGTACTTCAGTGGTATGCTTTTGCTTTACAATGTTAGCTTTTGAACGACTGTTGGCTGCAGATTTCATTAAACGCCTTCATTACTATGCTAGATCTCACGAAAAAAGATTTAATAATAATCGCTTCATATTGGCTGCTTTATGGATCTGTACTTGGTCAATTCAAAGCATTAGCCTTGCAAGGATGCATTATCCGTCGCACTATCTTCCTTGCTATCATATAGTAAGTTTAGATAATAAAAATGATGCCCTTGAACTATCGATAAACAAGATTCAAGGAGGTCTTTTTAATTACTATAATCATAGGTAGAATGGTATCATAGAAAATTCTTGTGCATGTCCAAATAAATGGACTGAAAAGAGAAATTAAAAGCATTGAAATCAGTAATTGTTCTACTTTAATAGACCACAGTTTATTCTGTCATGTTTATCTATTTCAGTATTAATCTTAAACTTTATTAGGTTAACGTAAGAAATCACAAAATCAATCAAACTATCTTGGCTATTGTCCGAAAACTGGATATTGCAAGCATCATTTGGGAAAATTTTCACTTCTGGATTGCCGCTGTAACTACAATTTTATCATTTATCCTTGTAACTAGAAAAATTTCTACACATATAAGTAGTGCCGCATCATTACACCTACAGGATAACGATAAATTTGCCAAGATGACATCGAAAATGCGCAAGGTTAGTCTTTTTAGTACTGTACAGCTAAAATATTAAACTGTCTTAAAAATTATATTTAAAAACTGATATTAAGTAATAAAATTTAAGCTTAACTGAATAAATTATAATGAATAATATTGGTAATATATCGAATTAAATACTCGTATACTACAAGGAGGGATAGTGACAGTAAAAGCCATTAAAGTGTTACATGAAACTGTATCTCTTATTGATCGATAAATGCAACAATAGAATACATGTCTTTAATTTCATCTTTTCGTTATTTAATTAACGATTTAACATCTTTTACGTCTATTGAGTCTAGGATCTTCTAACAGACATAATATCAATCACGTAATAACTAAAACGTTGCGGTAGAATTAACATTCTTATTAGGCAATTTATGCTCCTGGAGATTATTCAGTGTACTTATTATTTGTATGAGATGTCTAACTATTATACAATTTATTGATTGTGATATCGGATATGGCAATATCAGATATCTAAATATGATAAATTAGACAAAATTCATAGCCTCAAACAGAAGTGTGTAAAATTTAAGGACGACAAAAATTTATTTAAAATTTATCCGAAAACTATCCCAGTTCACAAAAAAAAAATGATATAACATCGCATAATAAGCCAAAAATAACTATAAACACAAGATACAAAAATTGAATTACTGTCTTCATTCCGGAGACGATACCCTGTTGGTGCATCCAACAATAAATTAATAAATCGCTGGTTACTAGTAGCAGATTCATATTCGCCATTTTTTTTATAATCCAAATGACTACTTCTACGATTAATCAGCTACACGATGCAATTATAGATAATATCTAATCATATAAGTATTGAGAATAACAAATTTATTAAAAATGTCGATATCATGTACGAGTAAAATTTTGGCAGCCTTTTATCCTTTATTAAACTTTTTCAGTTGCTTGTAGAACTTTACAGTCTCTACAACCCTTTTAACGAATAACAGATTAGTTATGCTGAATACTTGCCATGATGGCATTTTGCTGTTTGTTCATATAGGATATAAATATAAACATATTGCCTACGTTTGTATGCAAGTTTTGAAGTATAAATACAGCTTACAATCTTGTGGCGCATTGCATTTTACGCATATTAAAAAAAAAGTTCAATTATAAGAAAAATTTTTACTAAATATAGTGTTGTTTTTGTAATTTTTATCCTAAAATATGAGTAATGATTATGGAATGCATGCAATAATACAAACGTATATGACGATATATGGGCTGTTGCATGTATATGTGTACAGTTTATTAAAACGACAAAGAATAATCCAAAGATTGTTATTTTTAAGTTAATTCTCAATAATATCGGATTTACGTAGGTAGGATTTACTTTGGTGGTAATCTTCTTGATCAGTTTTACTCCATTGACAATTATTGAATTAGATGATTTATGTGGTCGCGAAAGACATCCAGATATCCGTTTAATTACGATGGCTCTAACCGATATTTCATCAGCTATCAACCCAATCATTTACTTTGTTATGTATCAGAGATTTCGTCAGGCTATCAAAGCTTTATTAACATCGTTCATGAATTCATGCTTCGGTAGAAAATAAAAATGGTTCACCTTTTCTGCAAACTTATCCAATTTTCATATAGACAACGGCAATATAACAATAATGAAATCTTAATAATATATACTAGTAATGTTACTGTCCCATATTGGATTCTGGCAAAAAAGTACTGATTATTCTAGCAGTAATATGAGTGCTAACCCTCTATGTGCAAAAAACAACACCATACCTATACAATAACTAATTTTATTTTTTACAACAGAATTTTAAGTAAATTTACGCTGCGATATGAATTTTACACGATATATCTACAATGTGTACCAAAATGCTTCTAGAACTATATTAAATGTAACAGGGATTAATAAATTTCTCCGCAGCGAATGTTAGGTAGTACTATTACTGAAATTTATTTGCGATTGTAACGCTTACTGTTATACGATCCTATCTTCAGCTCTTACTGTAGTTAGCTCATTTGTCTGCAACTTCAGCCGACAATTTCGTAAGAATAAAAGTTACTGTGCTGCCATCAATATTTGAATTGCATATATATATATGGTCGTTAATTCTTCAGTTGTCTTTCAGTAACTGACGCAAACATATTTATCACCAGCAAAAATGCTGTAATAGAAGTATCTCGACTATACTAACTAATCTTAAAAATCTAATTCTGACAATTGATAGTCTTAGAAGAGATAGAATTTGAAACAGACTATTATTGCAATGTTTTTAGAAAAGTAGCGAAATAATTAATTAGCTAATAACAAGAAAATAATATAGAACATCCTGAGCTTGAAGTAAAGTAGAGTCCAACCCGGTATGTTCATTCCATAATTACATTTACTTCCATCTATTTAAGACAGTAAAGTCGTGCTTAATCGGGCTTGAATTATCAAATAAAGCACTTCTCATCAAATAGATAATTAATTATTACTACTCGTATTTATGCTGTACGTATCTATTAGCTCAAGAGATATTATTAACCTTCTATTATTGTCCAATACCATAGAGTTCAGGTGCTGAGGATCTTCATAATTACAGCACATCAATTCGTATCATCCTAATACCTTACTCAGTTAACCGACCACTATCAGTAATCGACAATATCTAATAGCAGTCTCTTGTCGCCGTGTGATTGCCCGTGAGGCTGTGACAATTCGGATCAGATAATAAAAACAGCTCCAAAGTATTTCATTCTTTGCACTAAATCGAGAGTAGAATCTAGGCTATAGTGATTAAACATTATCTAAATAATAAAACAGTTCGACAAGTGCTCATTGCCGAAATATGGTGTCATGGAATAAACTTTATTATTAATTAGCATTATATTATGATACGTTTCTGTTATTGTATTGATGTATACGAGTATAGCAACTAAAACTATACTATTGAATTTATTATACTGCCCTTAATTGCTCACTGTCTATAAAATCCAGTAATCAGTCTTACAGTAAAGATTGATGAAATCGTTTCCATAGCAACCTGATCAACCTCATTATTTGGATGTTTAATTAATTTTCATTGCGTTAGGGCAAATCTTCTATAGAGCCTAGTAGGCCATCATCGAATGTAATCTTATCATTTGTAACATAAGCCTAATTCCAACTGGATTATATCGATGCCAATATGGCAAAAAAGGAAGAAACTAAATTTCGCCAAGGACTTATTACAGATACATCGGTAAGGCTGGATCTGTATTTTCTTTCAAGCTACGACTTAAGACTTATTGTGATAACTAGGCGATATAGATTTACTATAGTTAGATTGGACATTGTAAACAAGCAACTCAAATTCCTTAGTTTTTTCCAATCCAATTACTTTCATACTGTGTGAGAATTCATCTCTCTGTCAATTATAAGGGCATTCAAGTTTTATTATCTACTTTTTCTAATTTCAAATCCTCTATACACAAATATAATGAACTGGATACCTTGGCAAATTTTTAAGGCAGTCAATGGCTAGCAATACTTTTTCATTTGATTTTATGGCAATTTATGATACCCTTCGCTACTATAAACATGAACTGTAATATATAATATTCACCGTTGCATGCATCAAATTTAAAAGTAAACTTTATTTCCATCATTTATTCCACTGGTATAGAAATTAAAAGTAATCCTACCATCTGTAGATAGGTTAATAGTACTCATGAAAGTATACTTATCTTCTATCATCTTCAATTGATGACACCGTATAATCTCAACGTACCAGTAGAACGGCTTTGACAGGCATTACTTTAAATTTAGTAATTTTATTGCGGATATCGTTCTTACCTTGAAGAGAAATCATGATCATTTTACACTTGCCACACTATAAATTCATAAATATAGCCAATACATCTAATGTCTCGATATTAAAAATTGTTAAAGCGATATCTCACTTCAAACAATAATCCTAGTCAATTAAAGCACATATTGATACTATTGACAGTAAATATATTGAAGAATAAAGATAATATCTTGTAGTTGCTCAGTCCTAGATCAAATCTAATGAGCTTTTAAATATATGAAATTATGACACCATTAGCTTATCCGAGAGCAGATGAAGGCTATGAATCTGACAAGAGACGTCGATGTCCAGCAAATTCATCTGGGTAATAGGTAGGACGCTAACTTAAAACTATAAAGGTAACATCGTAATCAGTAATTGAATGGAAAATAGGCCGATTAAATACAGTATAACCATTAAAAATATCCTCTGGTATCAGCTTAACATTATAATAAGGAATCTACAATTTCAAGAATCATATCACTACCATAACAGCTATGCAATCTCGATGATATGAATTTTAGTTCATAGCACTAATTTAATAACTTGCGCATTTTATTGGAAAAATTCTAGGCAACTAGAAGAAGTGAGCGACCTACGGAGATACAAATACTTGTCTATCCTGTATCTCAATGATAATAAGGTTTGTTAAGAATAATTATAGTAACGGCTACGCTAAGAAAATTTAGTAATATTATAGTTGAGTGCTATTATCGATTGATAAGAATGCCTGACTATTCCTATATAATTTGTCTACAAAATGTAATGCACATCTGTTATACCGCGATTATAAATGTAATCATAACGATCCATTCATCGCGATTCGAATCAACATTTTAATACTAAGAAAGAATAATTTGTACAGAATTCTGTCTTAACGATTTTAATTCTTACATCAAAAGCGTACTTTTTAATTCGAGTTGGCATTAGTAATGTAATATTTAAAGTTCAATAAATCAGATTTTTAAGACAGAAATGGTATAGCTTTAACATGTACTTGGTATGATATTAATTATAATTAATCAGTCGATATTGCTAATACATGATCATTGAATTTCTAACCTTTCCAGATTCGAGAAGTAGCATTTTTATCCCGCAATTATAATTTAACAGAATTACACCTAAATAACAACAATCTGAAAAGCTTAGCTGGCGGACTCAAACAGTTACACAGTCTGAAGGTCTTAGCGCTACATTGCAATCAATTAACAGAACTAGCTGATATTGGAAGTGAATGCAAATATATGAATTGTTTAAATTATTTAAGTAAGGACTTTGCCTTTCAACTTATTCTTATCATAAAATCACTAATAAAGCTACTACAGAACCGCTAATCAGGGAATTACTTAATTCACTTATTACTTTTACGACAGATCTATATGGTAATCCACTCGCCCATCATCCGTATTATCGCTATTTTGTTATTTTTACAATTCCCTCGTTGAAACATTTTGATCGAATCGGTAATGACGTTTGCTATATGCTGGAATGTTTCATAGTTTGCATAGTACACTACTATTCGCAGTAAGAAATGATGATGCTAATGCAAAAGAATCGAATTTATTTCTATAGAAGTATCTGAGGACGAAAGGAAAACTGTAAATGAAATTTATGATGATAAAGCTGAAACAATTCGCAAAAGTATTGCATTTGGAAAGCGTACGGAAAAGCAGGAAACGCAAATGCCTAATGAAGATTATTTAAATGACCGGAATCAGAGATATCCAGTCTATACTAATTCTCTCACATCAGATCGGTCAACTAGAAGAGAAAGTAAGTTTATTGGTTATATTAGAGATGCAATTCATTGCATCACCTGGAAAATCCTTAACGGTCATACGACTATATAGTTGTTGAACTCGAATAGCAATGTACAGTATGATACACGGATGTAAGTGCATCGCCGCACTGTAAATCCAAGTAGAAAAATCACAATGATCTTCTTCTAACTTATCTTTATACTTAGTTACTCTAAGTGAAACAAATACCCTTGAAATTTTAGAAAGGACGAGGTAAATGCTTTCCAGATATTATAAACTTAAGATAAAGTTAATAATAAGGTCGCTTCAGTACTAAGCATTTTGTTTAAAGAAGGATAGGGGCTAGGGTATTGATCATTTCACTTTTAATAGAGAAATGCAAAAGCTGAACGAAGAAGCTGCTGTGACCAAACGCTCTATGAAAAGATCAGTTATGCAGTTTTCAATGTTTGATTGGTCAGGAATCAAAAAACATGAAGAGATCCGTCTCGGTGATGATGAAGGAAGTATCCCAACAATTACGACTGTAAAAATCAAGTAATCATACTGAAAGAGCTATAGCGAAACTAAACATTACAAATACTATGGATGCCATACAAATTTTGTTAGTACTTGAAATTATATACTGTCCAAATTAGTATATTGTGTTGTTTAAGCTATCGTGTTCATCATACTGAACGTTGTAATATCAAAATATGTTTTCAATGCATTGAGTAAGAAACAAGGTTGCATATCAATGTGTCGTTGTTGTACTATTCTTTAATTTACAGATTCACCAAGGCCATTTTTATAATAATGTCCGCAATTGTTTACTAATCTTGGTTGTAGCAATTTTGACAGCATATATACAGCTAGCTACCACTTTAACATCACATTTCACATAAAGATTATCTGAAACAAGTTAAATTACGATAAAATCCTTTTCATGTATATACATACTACATCTATATACTCACATATATATATGTATATATGATTACACTTATCAATAATTGAATAAAGTTTAAGAATAAACCGATTTACTTCATTACATTAACCAAAATGACAGGAATACAGATGGTCCTATATTTACCACATAAACATTTTATCGTACATCAAGATTTTTATCTTGCAAGTATGTTAAAGCTACGCACTATAATAATAGATCTAGCTTATACAGGAGTTATCATAGCACCTACTTAGTTTGATAAGGAAAATATTTAGATGCGTGCATTCACATACACGCATATATCTACGTATAGATTTCCTCGAAGTACGAAGCCGTACTAAAGACAACAAAAATTAAACCGTTAAAACTAACAATTTAAGTAAAGAATAAACTGGATGTATATTTAAATACGAAGTCTAACTGATAGTCTTCAGCACATATGACCAGCTTGAGTTGGTTATAATTTTGCTATAATTTCCCCATATAAATTTTGGCAAAATTTTATAGCCGAGTATTATTTTAAAAAAAGTCCATTCATTTGGAACTATACTTATTCCAAATACAAATACCAATGTAGCAAGGTAACAATGCCAAATTATTGTGCAAGCGCATTAAATTTCGGTGTATTTTCACGCAAAAGTTCAAGTACGCCTCTAGAGTAATGCAACCGACTTAACAAGTCAGAGGTACATCCGTTGCGCAATATGTCACACATTCTGTAGGTCTTCATACGAGACTTTTTTCGAACAACTGATACACATTCCAATCTTGGGCATATAACAAGCTTTTTGTGATCTTGGAAAAAGTTTATCTAGTAGCGCAACAAAAATCCCACTATTAATTCAAGAAAGTACTGTGTGTAATCGAGTATCCGCCATGAGTCATTATTTATTACCTGAGCAACACCATTCGATAAAAGCATGCAAATTGCGGTCTCAGTTCGAAGCCAAGAGTAGACGTATGGCAAACGGCAGGAATCTAATTCAATAAATGGCTTCCTTCCGGACTAAATTTATATATAATTTATGATGTCAATGTGAGCCTACAATAATATCTCTAATAATGTAACGTACGAATATGCTTACTAACCTGAACCAGTTTTTCGTCCATGTATTTTACAAAATGATTAATAATAGCTAATTTCTTTGTTATTAGTTGTACATGCTTCTCTTCAGCTTTGACGGTAGTTGTACATTGTTCATTACCAGAGGAATCAATATACTGAAGATGGCTGTGATTGCAAAAGGTATTGAGTTATTTTAACGGATATTTCGCTTAAAAGATAGTACGTAGGCGTTAGCAAAGTGACTACAATAATCTTACACTCTATCTGGAGCAAGGATAAGTCGAGCGCCATCATTAAAGAATACACCATGACTACTATCAGTAAGTTGGTATCCAAAGCCATACTTATCGGAATAATCAACCCATTTACTGATCCAGTACATGGGATCCATAGAAGGCGTAATACCTTCATCTATGTAAGATAGGGTTAAAAATTAAATTAAAAATAGATATAGCAATGTATCATCATTAATGCTGAGAAGGCAAATTATCGAGAATATTTATTAAATTTATAATGGAAGAAGTATAACTATTTTATGATGTATGGTTTCAATTTGCATCATAAGCATTTCTTAATTACTTTGACAAGTGCTATTGATTTACCTAAAACTTTCTCTGAAATTTCAGTGAGTTTATTTGTTGAAAACTTCTTTAGCAAGGCAATCAAATCATATTGACTATAATCGGCGACTGCATCTATAAATGGTAGTAATTTATATGGCTCTATATTAATAACGTGACTAAAAATAGGATATGCTATATCCTTACCTGCAAACGGTGAAAATTTTCCGGCTAAAAATGTTTTAGGTATGTTCAAATTCATAACTGGTTTTGCTTTATCAGCAACGTTTTCGTCCTTGTTAGCTGGTTTAGCGTTTGGTTTAGGGTCAGCGGACTTAGCAGTAGGTCTTGTTTGAAGTTTATAATTGACTTCATGGAATGGCTGTCTGCTACCTTGTACTGTAACACATAAGTATGAACGGATTTAGAATAAATAAAAGGCTAACTGGCTGGAGTTTACAAAGATGCAAACGTCACAGTATGCGATCATAAGACAATATACCTAGACAAGTGTCAGCAAAATTAGGCTCAGCAACAAGACAACTATGGGGTAACTTTGAGGGAAAGTAACCCGATGTGAAGAATGCATGATTGAGGATTTCTGCCATGCTAGGTCTTTTCTCAGGATTGGAATTTAATAATTTGGTAATCAAGTCTCCGGCATTTTTCGATATACTCGATGGCACCTGGAAGTTGTTATCTTTAATTCGTCTGTAGGTTTCGTGTAATGTTTCAGTTTCAAAAGGTGGTTTACCAACTAATAGCGTATACCTTGGCATTAACAATAGACAGCAAAGGTATTACTAACTATTTATCATAGCAAGCTTTCTTAAAATATGGCTAGTACAGCAGTTATGAGTGGTTGATTTTTTGATGCAAGAGTGGATAAATACTACTATTGTGATTAGTTGTACTATGATCGTGTATGCCTTACATGATACAACCAAGGGACCATGCATCTACACCAAAGGAATGGCCAAGTTTCTTTAAAATTTCAGGAGCGATATAATTTGGAGTTCCACAAAGGGTTCTACGTCATGATTGGAAAGGAGAACATTGACGATTACTATACTATTGGCTATTAATGGAATAGTAACATTTATTTGAAGGAATACTTGGCGTGGTACGTCTACTGTAAAAGTTTGGATTATTTAGCTACCTTTTTCGTTCGCCATCATGCTCAATTTGAGCTGCTAGCCCAAAATCTCCTAACTTTAGATTTAGGTCTCCATCGATAAAGATATTAGCTAATTTTAAATCTCGATGGATGATTTTCAAATCGTGTAAATGTTTACATCCGGAAACCGCTTGTGACATAAAATAGCGAACTTCTGCTTCTGTCAGATAACGACGCCTTTTCTGCAATTCATATAGTGACTACAGAGAGAAAAGATAGCCAGAGACAAAAATTATTCATACACCAAGTTCATACTATTTTAACTTGTATGTTTTTTTTTTTTTTAATGGTCGGTGAAAGTTACCTTCTTTGAGCATAATTCTAAAACAATGTAGACGTTTTTTTCATTTTCAAAATTGGTAATGAATTTGACAATGTTAGGATGGTTAATTGTTTTATGAATGGCAATTTCTGAGGCCATCTAAGGAAAGACAAGTAGATTGTCAAGTTTATCCGTCTAAACAAGTGTATTTGTAATAGAGAATAAATACAAGTAGAATTTTTATTGCTAAAAGATTGTTATTGACTGCAGGCAAAAGGATGACTTCGCTTACCTTAGAGCGATGATGAGCTTTTACCAGCATGGATTTGGAGACAATTTTGCCAGCATATTTTTGATCAGTTTTCATATCAATGAATTCGTAACATCGGCCAAATCCACCCTGAAATGTTGGAAAAAGAAAATGGATACGGTCAATTGACAAATTATAACTTGAAGGGAAGGGGGCAACAGTCATTTAGAATCTTCATGACAGTCTTTGCGCATTTTTTATTCCTTTCGACGACTGCCGCTGCCAATTGAACAGTGTAACGAGTAGCAAAGTGCAAGGCATTCGAGTTGATAATAAATTAATGTCAGTTTGAGAGATAGAAGAAGTAAAAAGTAGTTGCAGTACACAAGACATTGAGGTTGGTGGTTGAAAACAAGTTTGCCCGACTGCATCATGTAGATACTGTATGAGGCAAAACCGTTATAACCAGGAAGAGAAAAAATTTGAAATGGTTGCTTGTTCAAGCGTTGGATCAAGTTGAATTTTTCAAAGAGCTCCTAATCGCTATTACTCTCGCTACAAGTGCACCTAGCAATGCAAAGTGTCTTACTAACTGAATGTTTGACTGACTGAAACTGCTTGTAGACAAGAAAAGAGAAGCATTTGTCTAGCCCTTTTCCTACAATCTGTTGAAAAGTGTCTAGTGTCATCCAAGTGGATTTTTTGCCTAACCTGGTTGACAACGTGTAAAAGACAACTGCTACGTTCAACTTGTTGTCTCAAAAGAAGTCAACTTAATCCAAGAACTACACAACACCATCCTTCTTGGAGTATAAAAAACGACAGAGTCAAGGATAACGAAATGGAAGCGTAAAATCCATTTCAAATCAGACTGCTGTTGAAATCGTCATAGCATTACCTTGCCCAGGAATTCTCCTTTCCTGAAACGTTGGCCGGTTGACGGCACCGTAATAATGTCTTTGGAATCATCCGTTTTAGACGACATGATTAACACCAAGTACTTGTACAATACTGTTGAAAGTTCTATCACTAGGAAATAGGAGTTCAAGTTAATGGACTTTCTTGTTTTTCTTCCTCCTTGTTTGCAATCTTCACTCTGGACGCCACCACTACTTGCAGTTTGCTGGAATGAGAGAGAAACGCCGATATTGGTCAGTTTAAATTGGGCAGTCAAGCTACTGTTGATCCACTGAGGTTACTGGCTATCAACGGCTTTTAAATTCACCTCTTCAACGGTGATTGGTTGAAATGGACGCTTGCGTCAAGAGTCCTAACGGTCGAAGGCCGAGTGATCACGTGGGTTAAACTGAAATACGATTGGATGATGATGTCCACCAGCGACGCCACCTTGTATTGATTGGATTGGACAGTACACAGTGTACAGTAGTACACACCCGACAGGAGATGGACTGTACACTGTACACTGTACTGGCAGGCACGGGTTCAACTCACTCTTGTACAGAATACGACTTAGTCGCTGGTACCGTATACTCAGACAGACGGACTTTTCTTCTCCTTATCAGCCGGTCAATATCCAAATGTAGAGACCAAAAGTAGCTGGTGAAGATGGATCTTCCGCGTCGGTCTTGTAAATCACCAGTACTAATGGAAATGACATGGACAATCTTGTATGACTGTTTTCAAGCACAACTTAGTAACGGAAGATTGAACGTAATATTACTTGGTGTAGAAAAAATATCTCCATTCAAAATCGACCATCTTTGCTATGCGATCCAGTCGGCATGTCTGTCCGTCCGAAGAGGGGTCAGGTCCCTATTCAGTTCACTTCCATCAGTTCCATGGGACAGAATTTGCCAAGTGCCACGTGCAGTACAGACAAGACAGTCTGTACAGTACAGTACAGGAAAGCACCCTGGTCCCAAGGTTCCGCTACAGTACACAGTACTGTACTGCAGCTTTGCTGTGGAGAAATTAGACTCTCCAGTACTGTACTGTAGGTTGGACTTGCTGTACTGTACTGTACCAAATTGGCATTGCTGAGTTCTTAGGCTACCACAAACTATACAGTACAACTTATCGAGTTTGGGCCTGATTGAGCATCTACTGTACAATTCTATGTTTTCCTATATTCAACTAATGCACTATCGTTTGCATTACTTTTTGCACCATTTGATCTATATTCAAGCATTCTGTATAGTACTTATTTAGAATCAGGAACGAAAAGGATCACGCAGTACAGTGTACTGTACAGTACAGTACTGTACAGCACGGCAGCCTTACAGTACAGTGTACTGTAGATCACGTGGAAGAACTTGGATGATGACAGTGGAAAATTCTCACCAACTCGCCCTTTTGATCGTGAGCGTGCGCGTTGAACAGAATTTCAAAATGAATTCATACTGTACTGGCCCCAAGCTGCACAGTGTACAGTTATGGTACACCTGGCGGTCTTTCATACTGTACTGTACTCTACACTGCACCCATGGTTGTGTGTTGATGACAGCAATGGTGTCCAAGAATTCATCATTGTGCAGTGTGCTTCTAGCCTTCTACTCAAATCGGTCTTGCTGAAAGGATTTGTAATACAAGTGCGCTTGCAAGTCCAGTTTGGCCTATAGTATCTGCTCCTGGATGTCCAGTACATTGTACTGTACAGTCATGGTTTTGTACAGTAGTACGATACTGGACAGTACTGTACTGTACGTATGCAGGCCAGGAACCAGTGGACACTGTACTGTACACTGTACAGTACAGTACAGCACAATGTACTGTGGTAGACCGATGGACAGACTTCTCTTTCCAAACCCACGGTCTACTGACTAGAGATGTTCAGTGTCGATTTGCGCAGGTCTACACTACAATCCATACTGTACACTACAGTACAGCATACTCTACTGGTACAGTACTAAGTGCCAGCTGGAGCGAGTCAAGATGGGTCGGGTAGTCTGCTAATCGAGATGGTGTTGTGGGTGGAAGGCAGAGGAGGAGCAATCCACATCGTCCAGTTTCCCTTTTCCTGCGATCGAGAATTTGCAAAGGCAAAGCGATTCCATTCCAACTTCCTCTTGTGTGTGTGTATTAGGACTGTTAACAAAGGAGGATTCCCTCCATGTTTATCCATGGACAAGCTGACCAAATTTGAGCAATTTATTAATGAGAAATTAAAAGGCGATTTAACGTAAGTTCAATCACCATCGACTCCATCGATGTTATCCAAACGATCCATCATCAGTGCCAGTCCATAGGCATCCATAAAGCTATGGACGGCCATAATCAAGTATTCGTATATCATTCATTGCTAATAGCCCGTTGAAAATACCAACGAACGCAACGACAAGCAATATTCAACAACATCCAAATAGGGATGGTCATCACCAAGTATTCGTATATCATTTATTGCTACTAGTCTGTTGAAAACACCAACGAACGTTACGACAAGCAATATTTAATAACATCCAAACATGGACGGCAATAACCAAGTATTCGTATGCCATTGATTGCTACTAGTCTGTTGAAAACACCAACGAACGTAACGACAAGCAATATTCAACAACATCCCAAACATCATTTGATCCAAGGCTTATTATTATTACTGTAGATGAGCTAGCTATTCATGGTGATTGACACTTTCAACCATACTCGTTCAATCATGGCTTCTCCAAGGCCGATACTACTGTACTTCCTGCTACGATAATCATAGAAATCTTCTGCTGATATCAGCATAGCACAAGGATTCACTTCCTGTGTCGTAGTCAAGAATGCAACGCAATGCAGATTGGATGATTTCGCTCATTGCAGTATAGGAGAGAAATGGAACAAGTTCTTGTTTTGCCTAGTGTTCCACACTCTCTCCATGGTCATGGTGTTGTTGAATTGAGCTTGCAGTGTTGATTGCCATGGGCTACACGAGATCATGTCCTACATGATTGATGGTGCTCATGGTAGACGGCATTCAAAGTTCATCAGTAATGCTCCTTCTACAGTACTGACTTGATGAAGCCCATAAGGTAGTTAGACTAAAGATGGTGTCCATGCTAAAGGTGATTTAACAACTGTAATGGCTAGACTGATTGAATGCAATGACAATACACTTGCAACACTCGTTATTGCACGGCATGATAAAAGTGCAAGTTATAGAATTCTTACAACAACGCTAAATTCAATAGGTTACTCCTTTTGGCGATACTGCTCAAAAATGAATGTCAACAATAAATACAGTAGGATTAAAAATGTACCAAATGTTTGACAAAATAAATAAACGACATGTTCTCTTCTGTGCCTTTATTCCATCGATAAATGAATGATTGTCATCTCTCAATTTCATTAGCTTGGTCAACGAGCGTCGGGAATCTGTCTGCCAACAAATCGCAAACTATCTGAAATTGCGTCAAAGTATTGAAAATTTACAGGTACATTACAAATGATTGACGTCGATTTAATGGATTGCAAAGATCATCTTGCCAGTTCCATTTTTCGTTGCAGTCGATACTGACGCTCAGGAAACGTTTATGTACAGGAAATATCCACTATGTCTCAACCGAATGTTTTAACCAACCCTTGACCATAAGTTTACTTGCTAGTTATTAGGTGAAGATGGCAAAACGCTACGCAGCAAGGTTGATTTAGGATGCAATTTTTATGTCCAAGCTAATGTGTAAGTCATTGACTTTCTTATTTTGACATTATAAAAATAATCAAAATTCGTACAGTAGATAGCTTGCATGATTCACCTTTAACTACAAAATGAATGCTATAGAATAGTGTCATGTAATGCTCAATCAGGAAAGAATGAAAGGATCTTAATGGTGTAGTCTTACTCTAGTAGCTTATAAAAAGTTAGTCGAAAAATGGAATGTCTTCATGTCCAGAAACTGAATGTGTTCATCAATACTTTGATAGCTAGCGATAAAAGAGTCGTTCTATTATAATTATTGCTTGCTTTTCAACTCTTACTTATCAACATCCAATAGCAAGTATGCAAACTGTGAGGATAGAATTGGAGCAAAGTACATATTCTCCACTACATTAATTGATACTGTACTCGTAATTATAAAACTACAATTTTGAACATGCAGTAATTTGCCTTAGTCATTTTTAAAAGCAAAATTCCTTCCCTTAAGAGAACTAATCCAAACTATTTTGCACTGTAGCAACGATACATCAAAAATCTTTGTGTCCGTGGGTTTTGGCTTCTACCTCGAACTAACTTTAGACGAAGCTATAAAATTTATGGGTAAAAAAATCGCCCACTTAACTGAGTAAGATAAAACTTTCCTTACCTAACAATTTTTCACTTAGCAAGCCGTGTTTGTCATAAAGTAATAAAATAGATCACTGTAGTAGATTGTAGTAGCAGATGTGCACCATAATGGATATCAGCTACTAGCTATTATACGATATCAGTACAATATATACTACAGGAGCGCCTTAAAGGAATTAAAAATACTGCTTTCGAAAATAATTATGCGATTGTAAAATTGATATCGTTATCTTTATCATCAATTACTGGCTATAACATAAATGATGACAATACTTGGGAAAGAACTGGTGCATATTGGTATCATATACAGCGTATTAATTATAGAATCTACCTTATGTAGGATAAATCAAAAATTAACAGTGGAAGCATCTAAAATCAAAGCCAATATTAAGATTGTATTGGAGGTAAAATTGTAGTTGAATTTTGGGGGCTTTTTATTACAACTAATCATCCTATGTTTGTGGTCCAAGATATAAAGTAATGACTTAATGAGCTCTTTTTTTCCGTATTATTTTGCAGAAATTAGCCCAATTACAAATATTAAATGATGATAAACCATCTCAAAACATCCACTGGTAGTTTACAATTTGGAAAATCTACTATTTCACGTGTAATCAATTGAAAATCAAATGAAAGTAAATTTTTACTGCATTGGTTCGATGTGAAAGACGAATGTATTCGAAGATTAATTTATTGACTGGATTTTCCGTGCTTTATAAGTAGTTGTGGAAAAAAGGATATAACGATTTTGTTCCTAGCAAATTTGATACTCTATCGATGACTGGTTATGGATGTTGCTCGATTGTATATATATATATATACTCGTACCTATGTAAGGACTACACTTGCATAGCTTCTCTTAATCTCTAGTAGGCTTTTGTGTAGTAATCATAATGAAATTTGCAGAATTTTTTATCAACTGTTTAAATTGAAAAATAAAACAATGGCTGATTTGAAAACAACCAAATATCGACTGTTATATTCTACGCCATTTTATGATATCATTGATTGCTTATTTGCAGTTAGAACTCGCTTGTCGTCGCGTTTCACATACAATTTTATTGATTTCTGTCTTATCCTATACTAATAAGAGCATCGTTATACCGTAAAAATTATGATAACAGTTATGGCGATATTTAAAGATGCTAGTTGTGTATCTTTAGTGCTCATTCACATGTCACGATGATCGAGAATGACCAATCGCGTTATTACTACGGATATCATTGTAGTAATGATGGATACAGTAGTTATATACAGAAAGAGAGAGAGAGCAATAAGTGATTCAAGGAGTAACAAGCTAACTATAGCTGAGTAATATAACGGAAGACACGTTCATTGAGACTATGTTAAGATAAAAATTACCAACAACTCCTCTACTTATTAGATTCTAGCAGTGTTTTTTAAAAGCTCAACATTCAAAATCAATATCAACAGTAGTAATTAGGTTTGTCATCAATACCGATAGTATAATATATTTTGATATATCTATCTGTTGTATAATTTTAAATAGCTTAGTAGCAATAAAACTGAATGATTAGACAGTAATAATTGATAGACTTGAGGAAACGATTCAACTACGTATCACAATAGCATATCTATAGTTCAAATGAATACTTAGTGTCCAAGTTATGGCCGTATTTTTTTTTAATTAATTCTAAAATAATAAACTTTTCTTTTAATCTGAATCACTGAATATAGTCTCAAATAGATATTTATTAAGATGTTTCATTAGCACCTTACATACAATATCGGGTTGTTCTATCATAGACAGATGAGCACTACCAGGGATTACAACAACGTGACCGTTCTTAAATTTATGTTGAATTTTTTGTATCTCTTTCAAAATTAATGGATTCTCTTCTTGACCAACCAAAATTTGTATTGGAATATCCATATTGTAGATTCGTTCCAGAATGGATTTACGGTCAATAACGGCGCGACATATTGTAAAAATTCCTTTAATATTGGATGTTGGTATCGATTCTAAATGTTTTCGTATTTGCTGAGGGATGAGAGGATGATTTTCTTTTGTCTTTAAACTCAAGCAATTCTCAACGATACCGTTAATGGTTTCGTGCGATAACTTTCCCATTTTTTGAACATTAGTCATTAAATCATCGTATAACTGTTTCCCCTTAGCTGGCTCTTCTGATAACGGAGTGTTGAGGAGCATGATAGCCATAACTGAACTGGGATGCGCTAGTGCTAAGTGAACACCGATAGTTCCACCAACTGAAAATCCTATAATAGCGAATTTGGTTAATTTTAAATGGCGTGTTAATTGCCAGATATCATCAGCTAATGTTTCTAGTGTGCACAAATGATCAGGTATGTGACCGGATAAGCCGTGCTCCCATAATTCCACCACCACGCATTGATAGTACTTGGATAAAAATTGACATTGCGATCGCCATAAATTTTTATCCCATAGCAGTCCTTGAATAAATAGCAGTGTTGGTCCTTGTCCGCATATTTGATAATGTAATTCAGAATTTTTATATTTAAAATAAGTTGAGGTCATAATTACATCGGCATCAAACAAAGTAAAGCCAAGTAAAAATCAAATGATTCTGTAACGTCGGACTAAGTTGAACACTGAATTCCTTGATGATGGATACTACTTTATCGGTTGTAAATTATTTACTTTCAAGGCACTACTTTAACAATAAAAAGCATACAGTTGACGTCGATGCATGTACTTAACTCTCAATGTACATGAATATAATAGAAATAAACATACTGGTATCTATCCACAAATCTTTACCCACCATTCAGTGGATATTATCATTGAAATCAATAATGTATGGAATAAAAAAATGACTCAATTTGTTGAAAATATGGCTTAGACTTTAAATAGTAATGGACGCTATTTTAAAAAGTGAAATCAATATATTCATATAGAATAAATGAACCTTCCTTGAAAGAAATTTACAAATAAATACAAAGAAAAAAGTAAAATAGAGTAAAAAATAAATGCAGTCAAAAGCAAGATTGATTACATGTACCGCTCAATAACAATCATTCTATTCAATTGCCGTTATCTAGAGCACAAAAACAATCATATCTATTGATATCTTAATTAATACAATGATTCTATCATTTTCTATCACTTGCTATTTTGGTATCGCTATCAATTAACTAGAAAGATTAAATAATAATACTGTTTATGACTAGCAAGCAACTCTATACCAACAGTTAGCGATCGTCTCCCTTTCAATATGATTGGCCTAGTTAAAACGTAAACTTAGTAATATAGATATTTCGATTTTCAATTTCATCTTTATATCTACAAACAATCTATAATTTGTTTATTTAATCTAGAAAGTGCTTCATTACTACATTAAATATCGTTAATTATGATATTAAAGCAGGTGAAAAGTGGAAGTCTGTTTCTTTGTTATTGTCGTTGATTGATATCATGAGATATTTTAATTGAAGCAGGCAGTACAGTAAGTATTCTTTATAATGATGGTACTTATGCTACTATAGGGATCATTCTGCTTCGAGAAAATGTATCTCATATACGACGAGTGTGCTAATAGTAATGCAAGTTCTTTGGCTACCAGGATATGGAGTTATTAATCATTTATACAGTTTGTCTACTTTTCAATAACTTCCGATATTCACGTTTTATGTAACTACCGATCGAGACGCTCTATTCAACATTTTCTATTTACGTATTATATTTAAATAAAACTAAGCTGCAATACAAAATATTGATCAAGTTAATTAACGTAATCTAATTCTAAAGAGCAATTTTTGACTTCAAAAATGAATAATGCCAGCTAATGAATTTGACCCGATAATTACCGTATTCCTTCCTGTTATATTGCAGCTTACTGAAACGATAGCGACTAAGTTAGTCCTATAAGACATTGACAGAAATAACTTTAAAAACTAGTTCTTGAAGTCATTTACAACACCAAAGCTGAAATCTTTGAAAATTTTATTGCCATCAAATGTTGAATAAGCTTCCTTTAAAATAATCAATAATCATGATTTATATAGAACTAAGAAGTGATGCTGAGATTAATTAAATGTTGATTAAGTTATCGTAACTAGTACAATATTGAAATAGCGTTGACCCTCACCAAAACAAATTTATATTCTCGTCATTATTATTACTCTTCGTATAAATATTGCGAAATGTTATCCAATACATTCACAATAGTATCTAAATTACTTTGGTCTAAAATCTTTTCAGCAAAAGTACCGTTATTCCATCGATAACTGCAATCCCAATTCTTCCTATAGAAATAAAGTTAAGTAAGAATTCAAATAAAACGATTAATAATAAACTACTACTGGCAAGATTTTTATTGCATGGTTAGTCTTGAATATATATTAATAATATTATTGGAACTTTATTTGTGGTACTGCTTAAAACTGTCATTAAATAATATGCATTAATTTTAATACCTCCCAATTAATTATCTACTTCAAGAAAACATTCTTAAATGGTAATCAACATCATGACTACTACATTAAGGTATAGAAAATATGCATGAATTAAAAAGAGTTAAGCCCTGCTTAGCAGCTGCAAGGACTAAAGAACTAATATACGTACACGATAGCGTCTAATTTGTCCTAAGAAAAGTATGAGAATATTCATTATTGAAGTTTGATATTAATCCAAGACCATTTTAATACTGATATTAATTTAAGTCATATCTAGACTTCGATCAAGCGATATTAAAAAGAAATAAAAGTATCATTTCGAATTTAACATATTTCCATTGTAACTTAACAAATAAATTAAATACGACCCAGCAATTTCCAGTAACAAAAAACACCTGAAAACAGGATTAATTAAATATTACCAGATTATTATTATCTAAGTTTATTAACCACATTTAGAGCCTTTTATTGCCACTATATTTCTTTGGTGTATTGTAAAAATGATCACCTTTATTTCAAACATGTAAATGGTCAAGATGACATAAATTGCATTAAAATAATTTATAAGAAAAGCGATGGCGTCAATTTAAATTATTATCGTTTAGAATTTGAGACAGCTATTGACTCCATTATATCTTACTGAACAATATCTTTGCAGAAAAATAGAATAAGAATGTTATTGATTTCTATGTTTCCATATCGCAGTGCATTGTATATTGGGAGTTAATAGCTGTTCAGCAGTCAGGGTGAGATGCTACTTTTATGTTGTTAACTGTGATGTAGACGAGAGTAAGCCCAGGCCAAACTACCCAAGAAATTAATATTTATGTAATGGACACAATCTATTACAGCTATGAATTTTCATACATGGTATAAAAGCCAACTTGTAATGGTATAACCGCAGATAAGGTATATTTTACAGAGGCTATGTTTAATAAGCACTTCGAAATGACTATTAAACTCTTTCGCGGATTAAACATTATTAAAATCCAATAAATTAATCACGGATAATTATTACAGTAGGGGGAAACGGAGGTTTCAATTCTATGTTTGGTGTGTGTCATTACTACGGCAGGATATGCGATTGCTTTATGCTAATTGTACCATAAATATGACTGACTTGATTTCCTTGTAAAGTATATAAATTGATTTACAGAAACGCATTAAGCTACTTACGTGTACGTTAGTAGAGATGCGGCTGGTAGATACTATTTAATAGATGCATAGTATTGCCGTAAAATGTTAAACTGGTTGGAATATTAAATCATAGACTATACCGCTAATCAATCAATGAGCTAAAGATTATTATAATCAGAGATGATATGAAATCCTAACGGCTACTTGATTATTATCATCGAAATACTTATGTAGCCTATTATAGCATGTTACGGTGCCATGCTCCGAAATAATAATTGCTAAGTTAATTAAAATATCTCATTTAAACTATTGTTTGCTCCAGTAGCTTATTAGATATTAATGTTTATTCATAAGTACATGTTCAATATTGTTGACATCTGGGAGCTAACACGCTTAGTCTGTAAACGTTAATTAATAACACCTTAAGTGTAAGATCAATTACTTTGCAGAGCCTTGAGGCTCTAGTTGCTATACTAGGATATGTATACTGTACAATGTAAGCCGCTATTTCAAGAATATTCACAAGTGTACCATCGGCGAGACTACAACAAGCGGAGCACTAGCTTAGCTTCTCAGTTCCAGTTAGTCATTTGCAGGATCTTGTGACTATTATTGCTAAGAATATTCTTACGTTTTTCTTTCGTACATTTTACGACTAAGGTTAACGAAAATAAAGTAAAGTATTTAAACCTATTACTCAACAGTAGTTTTTTTGTGTAGCTGAAAATTAGTTCAACTACGATAGGTCCCTAAGTTAGTTGGAAACACAAGTACTAGTGAAGATAGTGTTTAAGACCCGGTTTCTTGTTACAAAGAAGTAGATNTGTAACATAGCAATATTCTATTTAATAGTCTAAATGCGACATCAGCATATCCTTAATAGTTATCTTTTATGTTGATTATACTAGGTG